ATCTCATGATCTCACATTTTAGAGTATAAGGAGCATATTTTTCCTATTTCTTCATAATTCTTAGCCCAATGCTGGCCACAGTCCACAGCTTATTAAGTATGTGCTGATTAACTGATATATAAATTCTCCTTTATCCCTAACCCAGTAAAGCAATCAGCCTTCCCAGTAATGGCCTTGAATGATGACTAAGAAAAGAGCCCATAGTTTAAACACTTCAATGCGGCTGAACTATGAAATCTCAATTGCTAAGACAAAATTCCTTTATATAATGATATTACAACCCCAAGCTTTAATTAATACTTGAAAAATAAGATTATAATAGCAACTATGGCAATCTGGTTGACATGGTAAACAACCTTTCTGCACATAATCAATTTAGTCTCCTAATAGTACTAAACTCAGACTCATAAATGTTTTTGGCTCTTATCCTATCTTATTTTTATAACAGCTATGGATTCAGAAAGCATGCATTTATAAAAGCATCTTGCAGTTATAATTTAGGTTTGCAGATGATACTATATGTGATTTGGCTCTAAAAAGAGATAAATATTCTGGTCTGAGAAGATAACCCACTAAAGCAGAAATCCATTCAAATGCTAAAGTTATTTCATACAAATTTCTTACATTAGCCCATTACCTAGGAAAATTCTATGTCAATATAAAGTATCATACGTCCATCATTTTTATGGTCTAAAGGTAGCAGATAAAATTCTATTGCTATTAAGCAAAGCTTGTATATGTTGGATTTATGTGCTAACAGCCATTCTTGTCTTGTGTTTTTTTCTAATATTTTTCATCATTTCTGATTGCTCCACACAATTATTTTTCTATTCTGATAAATTCAAGTTTTCTTAACATCTTCGTTTCACCTTGTTTACACCTAGCTGTCTTATTGAATTTTGTTCTACTCTCAGAATTGAATTGCCATCTAATATAGCTAAGTCTTTATCCTGTGGAATTCTATAGAACAGGAAAAGAACACAGGTCCCATAAATAGCAAAACAAGATATTTATTTTCCCTGGAATGTAATAATAATATTGTAGAATCCATATAATGCTAAAATTTTCTTTTCTAGTCCTGTTTCCAAAAAGTGGAAAATGTGATATAAATATTGAGCATCAGACAGCTATAGTTTTTGAGATGTCTTACACATCTTATTTCCTAAAGTTAACAAAGTCACAACTGTACTTAAAAATGTAGTAGTTGTTAAAACAAAATTAACTTTGGGTAGACCCATGGTTTAATATATTATACTATGACTAAGAACCTTTGGTAAATTGATATGCTAAGAAGTATATTAGGTAAATATTCTAACTTACATACTATTTTTTTCAACTCTGTATTTAAAATATATAATAGTAAATGCTCATCATCTTTTGAATTGTCTTCCAAAAATGTTATTATTGCTGGGCTATAACTAAGTAATCAAATTTGATTTGTAACTACATTAGTTCATTAGCCTTAACATTTCCAAAACAGTTAAGCTGATGTTAGATCTTGGAATACCAGACAATATTTTGTAATAATTATTACCATTAAACTAGAACGATTAAAGAACAATCATTAGCAGCACTTCAAATTTGTGGGTATTACCTACAAAACCACAAATCAAATTAGCATATTCTTCATTTATTTTTTATTAGCTGTTAACAGGAGACAGAATTCCCTGTTGTAAGTCAAGATTAGTTGGCATTGGTTTAGAATGTGTCATTGATTGAGTTTATAAAAAAGCATGTGCTAGCTGTTATATCTACTTAATGGGATTTTGCTTTGTAATTTTAAAATGTTTTGCTGAGAACATATTTTATTAGAAATGACAAGCATTTATCACTTAGCAGTATTTTTTTCTCAAATACATTTTGATCTTAGAAAAGGTCAAGTTGAAATAATTCAATTCATTTATGTAAGAATATTAATATGTACATATATATTTATATTATAAATGTAAATGACTACTTCTACACTAAAAATAAGATCAAAGACTAGGAATCTATCTTGTTTTTGGAACTGAACGATCAATAAAGCTATACTGCCTTTTATTCTCCATCCTTAACCAGATTGGACTTTATTTCTACCTTGGTTAGGCTTGTGCACCACATTAAACTAACAAAATTTTTTTTCAAAGTATTTAATAAAACTTAGTGGTGCCAACAGCCTTATTTAAATACTGTAGGTTTTGAAGGAGGACAGACATCTTTCAAAATTAACTATGCAATTTGATGAGATATAAATTCATTCTTAAAGACAACTTGGGTTTAGTCTATCTACATAATCTGATTCCATTGCACGATGACAAACTCTTTCACTTGGATCTGACTTCTGGAAACAAGACAACTGCCAAAGGAAAAACAATCCTTAAAAATTGATGTTTTTTAAACTGCTAACAAGGTAGCACAACTCCATTTGACCCAGCAATCCCATTAATGGGTATATATCCAAAGGAATATAAATCATTCTATTATAAAGACACATGCACTCGTATGTTCACTGCAGCACTATTCACAATAGCAAATATATGGAATCAACATATCTTTGATAATGTTTTTTTAGAAACCTTGTATTTGAATCCCGGTGCTTAATTTAAGGTTAAATCTCAGTCACAAAAACAAATTTATGCAATCAATAGACCTATTTAGCATCTACAAAGCTTGTCAGTAATAAAACTCTATGAAGTCAAGATGAAATCTCCTCAAAATTAAAATTCTAAAAAGAAAAATATAAGGCTGTAATTTCATTCCACTTACAAATTAAATGCTTTGCCATTTCTAAAATTTCACATATCTATTGAGCAAATGAAGTACAGTAAGAATTTTATAGAACAAAAAGCTTATGATTGATTTAGAATACTCCTAAGAACATATATACAGAGATGGCATGGATTATTAACTAGTTTTCACCAACTCCACAAATGTTTACCAATTTTCACAATAAATCTACATTTCTAAAGATGGAATTTGGCAATACTCCTTCCTTAGCAAGAATAAAATCAATTTAATTGCATAGGATGAATGTTTTAAATGGAGCTTGGCAGAGTAAGTTATTCTATCAAATCAATGTCAATCCTTTTTAAAAATTCTTTTCCTTATCTTCTGCCTTTTACCACCCAAAAGAACATTATTTATTTATGGTTTGGTAAAAGTCCTGAACAGCAGAATAGATAGAAAAAGACTGCTTTTCAAATAAACCAGTATAGAGTCCTTATTCTTAAGAAAAAGAAAGATAAAATTTTCAAAGAAAATATTCTTAGTCAAACAAAACAGACTGAAGATGTTTTAAGGGCTACCCCTATGAGTTCATTTAACAACATGAAATATACCTTTAACAACACGCAATACACTTCTACATGAATTTACAAGTGCTCTGTACTACAGAAGGGTTCAATAATTGAAATGATTAGAAAACATAATTATAAGGGAAAATACAATCAATAGGGAAAGAATTCCGAGCAAAGGAATAAAGTTCAAGTATGTTAGCCTGGGCACACAGGACCTTTCCAAACCAAGACCATTGGAAACATTCTTTCTTGAACGTGAAAGAATTTGCTACTGGATAACTATCTTTCAGTAAAATAAGTGTCCCAACAAAACACATCTCTATAGTGGAACATTAACATCATAACAAACATAAAATAGATATTAATCAAAACACTATGCCCCCTACACATATCAGAAGATAGATATTGTAATCTCTGCTTTGATTTCATTGTGATATTGACACACTTGACACTATTTATCACTATACTGTAGCAACAAAGGTTGTAAAGACACTGAAAGGCTCTTTCAGGAAAATCTGTTCTCTTTGCCCATCCCCTCCCTTGTTTGTTTTCCCTCACTTTCAGTAGGAGAAATTTCCTATTTAAAGAGCATCTATTCACCATTTGACATATCACATGCCATTAACATACGAATTAACTATTTCAGAACTATATTTATATATTTATTTTGCTTTCCTGAAATTTCTAAATGCCCAATGCTTCAACCAATATAATCATTCATTTTAATATCCTTTGTTATACTGCAGACATTACAGATTCCTTCCCTCACTTCCCTCCCTCCTTCCTTCCTTCCAGAAATTGTTCACAAAATCAAATTTTCTGCTTTGCTTTTGGTGAGCTGAGTGCAACATCCCTTCCTAGGCAAAGAGGGAACAGCCCTCTAAATATCAACTCCCAGTGGAAGAATCACTGCACAACTGGGTACTTCATATTACCACATGAGCATAGTGCCACCATAAAGTGCCAAGAGGAAGAATAAATTGTTCCTTTTTTTCTCTGACCCACTCCTCGGCAACTAGGTATGTAGGCAGAATCTTATTTCTCTCCCCATCACTGTATCAGTGGGACCGAAGGTTTGTTTAATAAGCACGTAAAGTAAAACCAGACTGGAACTACAAAAGGGCTGGATGGCCTTTCCCATGTTGGCATAACAGTGAAGAAGCAGGGTTGGTCATGAAGTCACAATTTAGCAATGGCATTTAAGCAGAAACATTAACTTATATTGTCACAAAACACAATGTACATAAAAGCCACAAAAATATTTTCAGCCAGCCCTGGTAGCCAGGAAATTCTTTTCAGAGGTGTTTCCTTTTTGAGTTTTCCCAATTTGGACTCAGAAATGAAGTTAGAGACCTATTGTGATATTTTAAATATTCCTTTTCCAAATATATAACATGTGATTCAAAATAGAATGCAAGTTTTTAAGCCTGTCTTAAGTAATCTGATAAATGGTGTCCCATCGCTCATTTTATCATGGTCACAACGTATTTAAAATGCATATATGTATAAAAGTAAAAATAAAATATTGACGTAAATAGAATTAAGATCTCTGTGTGTAGAGCATATTGATAACTGGCACCCAAGCAAGGACTGATATTTTGAAAATGGTCTTGTATAAAAGCTATTCCATTCCTTGTATCCTATTTCGTATAAAAAATGATGCACAGACCCACATTCATAAACACACTGAAACACACACACATACACATATAATATAGAACTTACACAATTTCATCATTCTGGAATTCGAGCTCTCCACAGGTGTCCTCAAAATCCTCGCCTCCACCTCTGGCAGTTCCTTCGACGGTTTTATATGGAACAATAACATTTCCTCGAGCTCCAGATGTTCTCAATACTTTCACCTCCATGATGCCAATGCTCTCACTCACGTGAGTCACAGGTTCCTCAAAAGTAAAAATGCCTGCGTGGTCATCATCAAAAATAGTTACAGTGGCAGTGGAGGGAGAGCCGAGGCAAGCAAGTGTAGAAACATGGTTGGCTTCCAGTATGCCATCTTCTGAAGCTTCGGAAGATACTTTGACATTGCTGAGATGCACAAGGAAATTTTCATCCTCCTCAAAGATATCATCATCAATGATACCCACTCTAATTTCCTTCTGGGTCTCACCAGGCTTAAACACCACAGTTCCTTCAGTAAATTCATAATCAGACCCAGCATTTGCTGTGCCATCCTCCGTTCTGAAGTCAACAAACACAGTGTTGGTCAAATCACCACCTCTGCGGATAATAGTAAGGGCCACAGTACCACAGTTCTCCAGACACTGATATGTCCCTTGTTCAAAGAAGATCTTACTAACAGGGTCGTTTTCAGCCACTTCAGTGTTGACCTCATGCATGCTGACAGCCTTCCTTGCTTGGTCAGCTGCATGCCTTTTTAAAATGTTGCCAGCTCCTGTCATCAGGCGAGTAGCTTGAATGCGGTAAAATGCTCTACTTTTTTGCTGCTGACTTAGGACTTGGTAGTTAGCTAATTCTATTAATTGCTCTATTTCTTTCTCTGGATGTTTCTGCTTAAGTTCCTTCAGAATCCTAGCCATTTCTCGCCTAGCTTCTTCATCATCTTGGTCCCTCTCATCCACCTCCAGAACCAGAGCACCATCTAAGAAATTGTCAACATGAGAATTGACCACTTTCCCATCCATTTCAATCTCAGTCTTGGAAGATGGCCTGTCTCCTTCATGTTCAATAATCATGCCCCTTTGCTTGCCAGCTCGATACCTCTTGTAAACATACTTATAAAAGAGAAGCCTCCTATCCGCTACCCAAGCGAACACAACACAGATGGGAAAGAAGAAGAAAGTAAGCAAACCTTCCCAGACCTCCACAACGCCAGGAGAGATGACAGACAAAATAATGTAAAGCCAGGTGTAGGCAAAGATGCTCCAGGCTGCCGTCACGAAGAACACACGCAAATGCTTAATCTTCCTTGTCTCTCCATCAGGGACCACGTAAACACAGAGCGCAATAATGATGAACATATTGAACGCAGCACTTCCCACAATGGTGCTAGGACCGAGGTCTCCTGCAGTGAAGTTATGGCCACACACTTCAATTACTGAAAGGAGGATCTCGGGAGCAGAAGATCCCAGGGCCATCAAGGTCAGGTTGGAAACTGTCTCGTTCCAGATCCTCACAGTTGTCTTGGTGGTCTCTCCATTGGGTTTCTTTATGGTTATTTCTTTTTCTTGAGATGTGATGACTTCTATAGAGGACATGAACCGATCAGCTATGATAGAGACTCCAAGAAACATGTAGACCATGGCCACAAAATACACAGTAGCTCTAGCAATTTTGTCCCCAAAAGAAGGGTCTTGGGGCTCCCAGATGGGCAAAATCACCCCTTTCTTACAGTAATATGAGCCAGTACATTCACCAGTTTCATTTCCTTCTCCTTCCATTTCTGTCTCCGCAATTACGCGGTCCACATGGGAAAATAAGAGAGCCAGGATAACTAACAGATGTAATCCCATTGAAAAGGTGGGTGAAAGACTTAATCGCAGCATGTTGTACATGACACTTCCAACTGTTGCAACCTACTGGTAAAAATAAGATGGGGAGAGGGTGGAAAGAAAGTCATGTCATTAGAGCTGCATCCAAAGCATTACTAATTACTTATTTTTATTACTCTTACCAAAATTGGTTTATATTTCACCGTCAAAAATCTATAGTGAGTAATTGTTTTAAGACTCCTTCAGTGACTAAACAATCCTTTGTAAAGTTTACAACTCAATCTTCCCATGAATTTACTACATGTAGTACCCATTCACTGAGCAGGATACACAATTAAGTTATTGGAAAGGAAAAGTTCAATTAATACAGCCTTCCTTATTAAACACATATTTATGTATGCTAATAGCCAAAAAACACAGGACTTTCAAAGCATTAAATAATTTCCTCCTCTTTACTAAAGCACACTTTCTTCTAAATTTTTGTTAGTACATCATCTTCCAGAAACAGTTTCCTTGCCAAAAGCACCTTATTATGATTGATGCTTTGAAAATCAGACTGAAAAAAAATCCCACCAACACAAGGCCTGGTGATTATCCTAAATGCCAGAAAGCATCTTACATGGTATTTCATGAAATCCTGCCCTCTTGCTCCACATTTACATGGAAACAGAAAACTTCATGCTTGCCTGAAATCAAACCTCAATGGCATTTCTTCTTGAGGAGAAAAAAATTGTTGCAATATTTCTGCACACTAAGTACAGTTTTTAAAAGCATGTTTTGATGAGAGCACATTTCCTCTCAGTTTTCAGCCAGCCCAGGTCTCCTGATACATTAGCAGCTGCGCATCTGGTTCTTGAAGCACAGTTCTTCACATCTGGGTACAGAGCCTGCTTTTCTGCAGGCTGGAAAGGGAGATAACCAGGCCAAGGCCTAGTTGTGGGTAAGAGTCTGGAAGGCTGTGGAATCAGTATCAGCAGCCTTAAAATGTTCCTTCTCAGTGTTGATGTCATACTTTCCATGGTCATTCTAAAATACATATTAGTTCTGTAGAGGGTTCAAGTGACCAAAAAATGTAGGACCAATAATTCCATTTAAATTAGCTCATGTGGCATGACAACAGTGACCACAAAACATACACATGATGAAAGGCTGTAGGCAATGAGGGCCATGGCAACAGAGTCAGTGAGTAGCACACAAAGCTTGGTAGGCATAGCGGCGGACTCAGCCACCACAGCCCTAAGGTCACCCACCAGCTCAAGCAAAACTCAGACCTTACATTCCCTCTGCTTCCAGAATCTGGGACAGGGGTGAGGGGAAACTGAAGTAGAGGAAGGTCTGCTCCAAGTCAGGGTAACTCTCTTCCAGATCTTGCAGGAGGGACCAGTTATGACATCAGATAAAGCAGCAATAGGAAGAATCCCTGAGTCAGAATATACCCTTATGGCCGGGAAAAAGTTAAAAGAGGAGCTGGATTAGAGGCTTTCATAGCTTCAGGCTGGCCAAGAGCCACCCCACGTTCGCCTACACTCTCTGGCTCATGTTTGCTGCTAATGGCTTATACTGAAAACTGCACCAGGGCCCAAGAGAACACCCCTGCCTAGCACATTCTGGCAGACCCTCAGAGATCCCACCATACCGTAAAGCCCTTTATAGCTCATCACTACAGGGAGATAAGCTTCTTTGATATTTTTCCCATACTAAAGAAACCAGTGAAGGGTTATAGTGGTAGAATTTGAAACTAAGTAAAAGGCTGAAAAATAGAAGCAGCATATTTTCAAAATATGCAAAAGTTCATTGTCAGTATGTCTGCTTGTTCAGTCTTTGAAAGGCTTTGGAATTTCTGCTTGAAACAGGGTGAGATTTAACCATCCTGCAAGAATGGTGAAAAATCTAGTTCCAACTCTCTTGTGCATCCATTTCATCCACAAATATTTATGCATGCTTCATGTGTATTTCAGAAAGACTTGCTAGGCTATCTTCTAGATCCTGAGAATTTACCAGTGAATGAAACAGAGTATCTGTCCTCACAGAGCTTATATTCTAATGGGGAGGAAACTAAGAAATATAAATATCAGAAGGTTAAAATGTCCTACAGTACATGTGTATGTAGAGCAATCTAAAGAGGACAAGGAGTATGTGAGTGTGTGTGTTAGTGTGTATACACATGGCATGCTTGATTTTATACTAGATGGTTAAGAAAGGAATCTCTGATAAGGTGACACTTGAGCAAAGTCCTGAAGGACATAAAAGTTCAAGTCTTGCTTATATCTGTAGGAAGAGAATTCCTAGCAAGTGCAAACGTCCTGATGGGAATCATACTTGTCCCAGTCCAGAACCACAGAAAACCAATGTAGCAAGAGGACAATGTACCAAGCGGCAGGGCTCAGGAGTGGGAATGGATCATGGAACACTGAGTTGTCATGAGTCATGGGCTTTGGTGGGGTGGAAGATGAGAATCGCTGGGTGGTTCTAATCAGAGGGTGATATGATCTGATTTTTCTTTTACAAGGATCTCCCTGCTGGTTCAATATAAAGAGACTAAAGGGACAAGGTTGGAAACAAAGAGATCAGCTTTTGCCTACTACATAAAATCTAATTTATAAGTGATCCCAATACTTGGCAGGCATACAAAATGATACAGAAGACATCTAACATTTAAAATGGTGAAAGAAAAATTTGTAGTGATCCTTTTGGAAGATTTGCAACTTAAAACATCTTGGGAACCTGCAAGAATCAGAAAGGTGAAATATTTGTAATAAAAAGTAGTACTGAACATAGAGCATGAATACTGAAGACAGATTCAAATCTGTGTCTGTCTCCAAGACTGATATAGTTAACCACTCCCTTCAAATTACTGCCAAATCACATCATTCCATTCTTCACATTTCAGCCAAAATGAAATTCCTAAAGTGCAGATCTGACACTCTTTACTTCCCTTAAAAATTTTCATTGGTGGTCTGCTTCCCTGAGGCCAAAGCCCAAACCCTTCAAAAGGCTGTGTAAGACCTTTTATGATCTGGCCTCTGAGCTCCAGAATATGGAAATTATTCCTATTCCCTGAGCAAGACAACCCTGAACAAGACAACACTTTCTTATATCTAGGTCTCTGAAGATTATCCTGTGTTCAAAACTATTTTGCTTTTTCCTTCTTAGAAGCAAATTTCAAAAGAGCTAAACACCGAATTATAACCAGTTTCCTGAGAGAATACTAGATTCCATTCTTAAACATAGACAGCATGCTAAACTCTCTGTATGTATTGATTATGTTTAATATTTACATTAGCCAGCATTGCTATGTTACAAAACTCCTAGTGTTGCTATTTCCATTACAGTCCATGAGAACAGCACCTCTGGAGCTGTGCAATGCACAGTGCCCTAACAATAATCCTAAACAGGAGATATTATTAGCCTATCTGAGGGTTGGATAACTGAGGCTTAGATTGGTTAAGTACTTGCTGAAAGTCATACAGACAGTAAACCCCTCAACTAAGACTCAACCCCTGGTCTTCTTCAAAGACTGATATAATTTACTGCTCCATTATATCATCCCTGAAAGGGTGTGAATCAATCTTTGAGAAATATTGCGGTTGGCTTGGACTAGCCCATTGGAAAACCTCTTGGCTTCTGTGCGTGGTTAGGAGGGTCTAGTTAGCAAACGTCTTACGAAAGGTTTCCAGTAGGCTGGCTTTTGTCTTATGGATTAGACTGAAACAGACAAGCATCAATAACTGTGATGCAACATGAGGGCTAACATGTTCCCAGAGACAGCTGCCCTTCAATCTGGTCTTTTAGCAATTGCCTGGCAACCTCTTCCTGCATACACTGTCAGGGCAATCTCCTAGGCCAGCCAAGAAAAAGACCTGCCCTTTACCCCTTCCCTAGTCCACATCCCACAGTATGTTCTTAGCCAAAAGGGCACCAGATGTCTAAAGGTGGGCAGATCAGTAAAAATCCATCATCATTATCAGAGAAAAAGGAACAGGGCTTCTGGTATTAACTAAAAAAATCACAATTATATTCAAATGAGGGCAGCATTATAATTTGTGAAATCAGTGGACACTTACTGGCAATGAAGCACCGGAAAATAACTCTCTGGACTTGAGTTTTTATTAAATTAATACCAAATCCAAATGGTCATGAAGATATGGAATAGGTGCTATCTAACTGTGAGTTCTTTCTTCATCTTTTTGACTCCTTTCTTTCAGAGTCTTTCCTGTAACATCAGAATTAACCTAGTTTTACTTAACTCTCCCCATTTTCCTTCAAATATACATCTCCATCCAAATTAAGCAGAAAGATAAGAATAGAGGTTGTGGATATGCCGATTTGCTGCCTGGCTTTCTTACATTCTGCCTTAATTTACCAATACAAATATAGGCTGATTTTTATGGGGGATTCAGATAAACTTGCACAACTATGGCCAGTATTCTCTTAGGAACATCCATTACATTATCCAAATGAGATTTTAGCACAGCATCAAGAATATCCAAAGTATCTTCCGATCACTATTTTAAAACAAAACACACAACCTCATCACCTATAGATCACAGACCTACATGGCACTGACAAAGGATGGTAAAAAGATATCGAGCTGTGAATAGGCCAGCCAGTTGTGTTGGAGGGAGAGGTCACAGCTATAAGGAATAGAAACCCATGTCTGCAAAAGATAGGTCATTATCAAACTGCTTTTGTAAAGGATGAGGAAGAGCTTTTGGAGCAAAGATGCCTGAGTGGTTATGCAGCATAGTGTCCATTACCTGCTGGAAGCTGTAGACAGTTTGGACTACCAAGGAGGACCTGACTCAGAGAAAAGGCACATGCTGGCATTCCTACCAGCCCAATATACTGGACAGTCAGCCTAATGGCATCCTCTTGATTGGCAGCTGGGGTTATTCCAAGGAACTCCTTGATGGCCTTCATCAGGACTTGGAATCCCCTTCTATGTAATTCTTGCTGACTGAAAGCCTCAAAGCTAAGCAATTAATCTGTTTCTAAGGCAACATTAAAGCAACCATAAATCCTATCCACTACCAAGGCAAGCACTTTCAAAGGCTTCTAGACAAAGAGATGATGCCAGAGGATGAAGG